CCAGAGAGCAAATGAAGCATGGAAAGAATACCCCGATCATCTCAGGAAAGAGACTGTAAGCAACATTATAGCCAAAATTTAGAATTATCAGATCAAGGAAAAAATACTGCAAGTTGCCAGAAAGAAATAATTCAAATATTGGGGAGCCACAATCAGGATTACACAGGACTCAGCAGCTACAATATTAAAAGATTGGAGGTCATGGAAAAATATATTCTGGAAAGCAAAGGAGCTAGGACTACAACCAAGGATCACATACCTGGTGCAATTAAGCATAATACATTAAGGGGAAAAAATGGTCATTCAATGAAATAGAAGGATTTCAAGCTTTAATAAGGACAAGACCAGAATTAAACCAAAAATTTGATCTCCAATATCAAAACCCAAGACAAATATAAACAGGTAAAAAGGGAAAAGAAAACATAAGAAACTCAATAGAGCTAAGCTCTCTACATCCCTATACATGGGAAGATGATACTTGTGATTCTTAAAAACTGTACCTGTAATAGCATAGCTACAAGGAACATAAATAGACAGAGGGTATAGATAGGAGGTGAATTTGAGGGAATGACATAACAATAATTAAGTCAGGAAGGGAGCAGTAGAACGGGGAAAATTATTTCACATGAAGAATTGGGGAAGACCTATTACAGTGGAGGGGAAGATGGGAGGGTGGGTGACAGGCATTGCTTGAACCTTTCTCTCATCAATATTAGCTCAAACAGGGAATAATATACACAATCAGTTGAATATAGAAATCTCTCTTACCTGACAAGGAAATAGGAGGGGAGGAGATTAAGTAAAGGCAAGGGGGGGGGAGGGAATGAACAGAAGGGAGGACAGATCAGAGGAGGCGATACACAGAAGACAAAACACTGGTAAGGAAAGAAAGGGTGAAAGGAGAGAGAGGATAAACCAGAGGAAAAATAGGATGGAAGAAATACACAGTTAATAATCATAACTGTGAATGTGAATGGAATGAACTCTCCCATAAAATGTAAGTGGATAGCAGCATGGATTAAAAACCAGAATCATACAATATGTTGTTTTCAGGAAACACACCTGAAGCAGAGACATACACACAGAGTAATGGTAAGGGGTTGGAGGAGAATCTATTATGCTTCAGCTGAAGTAAAAACGAAATCAGGAGTAGCAATTCTGATCTCAGAAAAATTAAAAGCAAAAATAGAGCTAATTAAAAGAGATAAGGAAGGAAACTGCATCTTCCTTAAAGGTACCATAGGCAATGAAGCAATATACTAAATTACTAAATATACTAAAACAAAATACTAAACATATGTGTATCAAATGATACAGGATCCAAATTCTTAAAGGAGAAGTTACGTGAGAGGAAAAACAGATAGCAAAATTATACTATTGAGGGACCTTCACTGTCCCCTCTCAGAACTCAATAAATCCAACCAAAAAAAAAAGCATGAAAGAAACTAAGGAGGTAAATAGATAATTCAAAAAGTTAGATATTGACAGGCCTTTGGAGAAAACAGAATGGGAATAGAAAGAAATACACTTTTTCTTAGCAGCACATGGCACCTACACAAAAATGGATCATGTATTAGGGCATAAAACCTTCAAAATCAAATGTACAAATACAGAAATATTAAATGTATCTTTTCTTATCACAATGCAATATGAATCACATTCATAAAATACATAAAACATAGGGCAGTAAAAAGATAGATTAAAAATTAACTGGCAACTAAATAATCTAATCCTAAAGAATAAATGGGTCAAACAACAAATCATAGAAACAATCAATAATTTCATTAAAGAGAATGACAACAATGAGACAACATACCAAAATTTATGGGATGAAGCCAAAGCAGAACTTAGGAGAAAAGTTACTTCTCTAAACTTTTACATCAACAAAATAGAAAAAGAACAGTTCAATAAATTGGGCATGCAACTAAAAAAACTAGAAGAACAAATTAAAAATCCCAAATTGAGTACCAACTCAAAAATCTCGAAAATTGAAGATGAGATTAATAAGATTGAAAGTAAAAAAAAATTATAGAGTTAATAAAGAAATCTAGTGAGCTGGTTTTATGAAAAAAATCAATAAGACAAACAAGCCACTGGCTAATTTGATCTAAAAAAAGAGAGAAGTAAACCAAATTACCAATATCAAAAATGAAAAGGGTGAAATCACCACCAATGAAGAAGAAATTAAAGCAATCATTAGGAAATATTCTGTCCAATTATATGCCAATAAATCTGATAATCTGAGCTAAATCAATAAATATTTACAAAAATATAAATTACCCAGATTAATAGATCAGGAAATAGAATGCCTAAATAACCCCACATTAGAAAAAGAAATTGAATAAGCCATTAATTAATTCCCTAAGAAAAAATCCCTAAGGGCCAGATGGATTCACAAGTGAAGTCTACTAAACATTCAAAGAACAATTAATTCCAATACTATACAAACTATTTGGAAAAATAGGTGAAGGAGTCCTACCAAACTCCTTTTATGACACAAATATGGTGCAGATACCTAAACCAGGAAGAGCTAAAACAGAGAAAGAAAATTATAGACCAACTTCTCTAACAAATATCAATGGAAAAATTTTGAACAACATACTAGCAGGGCAATTACAGCAATATAGCACAAGGACTATATACTATGACTAGACAGGATTTATACCATGAATGCAGTATTGGTGCAATATTAGGAAAACTACCAATATGTTGCCCAAATCAATAACAAGACCAACAGAAATATTATGAACATCTCAAAAGATGCTGAAAAAGCTTTTGACAAAATACAGTACATATTCCCATTAAAAGTACTGGAGAGCCTAGGAATAAAGGGAGTGTTCTTTCAAATGATAAACAGTACTATCTAAAACTATCTGCAATCTGTGCTGGGGATAAGCTAAAAGCCTTGAAAATAAGATCGGGGTAAATCAAGGATACCCGTTACCACCAATACTATTCAATAGTATACTAGAAATGGTAGCTATAGCAATAAGAGAAGAAAAAGAAATTGAAGGAATTAGATTAGGCAATGGGAAACAAACTTATCACTTTTTACAGATGATATGATAGTATACTTAGAGAATCAACTAAAACAACAGTGTGAAATAATTAAGAACTTTAGTAAAGTTGTGGGATATAAGATCAACCTATATAAATCCTCAGCATTTCTACATATGACCAACAAAGCCCAGCAGCAAGTGACAGAAAGAGAAATTCCATTCAAAATAACAGCAAACAAAACAAAATATTTGGAGTCTACCTGCCAACAAACCCAGGAACTATATGTACACATTTACAAAACATTTTTCACAGAAATAAAGTCAGATCTAAACAATTAGAAAAATATCAATTGCTCATGTATAGGTCAAGACAGTATAAAAGGAAATTTCTAACTAATTTGCTTACTCAGTGCCATACCAATCAAATTACCAAAAAATTATTTGACAGAACTAGAAAAAATAACCAAACAATTCATCTGGAAGAATAAAAAGTCAAAAACATCACAGGAATTAATGAAAAAAATACAAAGGAAAGTGGCCTAGCAATACCAGATATAAAGCAGTAATCATCAAAACTATCTGGTATCTAAGAAATACAGTGATGGATCAGGTACACAAGACACAACAGTCAATGACCATAGGAACCTAGTGTTTGATAAACCCAGTAGCCCCAGCTTTTGGGATAAGAACTCACTAGGTGACAAAAACTGCTGGGAAAACTGGAAAACAATGGGAACGAACCAATATCTCACACTATATAAGAAGATCAAAATGGCTAGATGATTTAGACATAAAGGGTGACACCATAAGCAAATTAGAAGAGCAAGGAAGAGCAAGGACCTGTCAGATCTACGGAGTAGGGAAGAATTTGTGACCTAGCAAGAGATAGAGAACATTATGAAATATAAACTATATCATATTGATTATGTTAAAACGCTTTGGCAGAAACAAATCCAATGCAACCAAAGTTAGAATGAAAGCAGAAAGTTATAAAACTATCTTTATAGCAAGCATCTCTGATAAAGAGCTCATTCTCAAATATACAGAGAATAAAGTCAAATTTATAAGAATACAAACCATTCCCCAACTGATGAATAGTCAAAAGATATGAATGGGCAGATTTCAGATTAAGAAATCAAAGCTATCCATAGGCATATGAAGAAGGGCTCTAAATCACTTTGGATTAGAGAGATGAAAATTAAAACAACTCTGAGGTACCACCTCATGCCTATCACATTGGCTAATGTGACAAAAAAGGAAAATGATAAATGTTGGAGAGGATTTGGGAAAATTGGGACATTAATGCACTGCTTGTCGTGAACTGATCCAACCATTCTGGAGAGCAATTTGGAACTATGCCCAAAGGGCAACCAATGTGTGCACACCCTTTGATTTTGTATTCGAAGCTTGAGTTAATCTTAGTCATAATAGCTTTCATTTTGGCAGAGATCATGTTTCCCAACTGATGCCTCTTCTGGGCTCTTTTGGCCTTCTCTTTGGGGCAATTGTTTTATATTAATTAAACTTCTGAGAAATTACATATATTCACTGTCCAGCATAGTGCTTAGCATACAGCAGTGCTTAATACATGCCTGTAAACTGGATGACTGATATGTCCATTTCTCATTTGGGGGAATTAATAGCTTATTTAGTTACAACAAGCTATAGTTGTTATAACCACTGTCTCCTTTACATCTTTATCCTTTCTTCTCATTTGTATTAATTTTGACCTCTACTCTGGCCAGTCCATGATCTGAATGAACATAGACAACTAATTCTGAAATTATTCCAACAGTGATAACCAGTCATTTTGTCTGTTAGGATAATGTCAGTTCCGTGTTTTGTTTTGTTTTTTAATTTTGATGATATCAAACAAGCTTCTCCCATGCAAATGATAAATCCTCACAAGACTCAATGACCCATGCCACCCAAAGGGATAACTTTGATCAATAAGTAAGTATCAGCATTAAGCTAGATGTAAATTGTGAGGCACGTGCTTACCTAAGGTGTTTGCCAATGCCGTGTTGGATGTCCTGCACAGGGTCCAAATAGAATAGAGATGGTATATGATGGCAAAGATTTACAAATGCTCTTATTTTTGGATGACATTGTGATAATTGTATCCACTCCTGGAACATGAAAAAGGCTCCTTGATGAAATCCAAACTTAGTCAAAATACATTAGTCTAAGAATCCACCCTGAAAAAGTGGATGAAAAGCAAATATTTTCTAGATTCCATGGAGTTGAAATGGCAGTCCCATCTACTTGGTCAATCTACATCTTTGTAGAGGTGTTTATATACGTAGACATACACATACACACTGCCTGGATGGTATGGAAGAACAGCAGTGGACTGGGCTCATAATTATTGGGAAAAGGAGATCCATTGATCTCCTTTGAGAAACTACACAGAACTTCCAATGACCCCATTGCCACAAAAGTTCATTTTATAAACACCAATATTCTCTCAGGAATGCTATGTGGCCATAGTGATTTTTTTAAAAATCCCCAAACCAAAAACAATCTCAGAAGGATCAAAATTGTAGCCTTGGCAACGGGGCGAGACAGACTGAACTGGGCATGCGTGCATCACAACCGCAGGTCACGCGCATGGGCCCTAAGGTAGATGAAATATGTACAGTGAGTATAAGGAGGTTCAGGCAATAATGAATTTGATGTAGTAAGTGGTATGAGAGACGGCTCATAAAATACTATATTATACAGGAGGTGGGCTTCTACTTTGTTTTTTGCTTCAATATCCATTTTATGTCTAAGCAGCTTTGCTGCTGTGGCTGTGTTATGTCCAGAGGCAGCATAGTGAAGTGCAGTGCTGTTGTTGGTGTCCACAAGATTAGGGTCTGCACCATGTTTGAACAGGATAATTGCATATTCCTCTTGCTGATACTGTACTGCCTGTCAATATAGTATAGAGAAAGAGACAATAAACAATCTAATATAACATTTAGTATATTAAAATATCATTAGTGATATTTAAATAACTTAGTAAAGCATGTTTTCTAAATCAAAGAGAGAAATCAAAATGAATTTCATTGACCAGTGTGGTTACCTAGTGTATATCTTAATTACAGGTGTTCAACTGACATTATTACACAGGTTTAGTTTGCATTTTCTCTCAACTAAGAGAGACATGACATCTGGATAACCATTAGCACAGGCCAGGTGTAGAGGCGTCCTATGGAAATGAGAGAGCTATGTGATTGCTTGACAATGTACTACAACAGTCAAAATTGTACCATTATTAGTGTGATTTCTAACATAAAATATATTATTATTCTTGTGCCTGAACTCTAAGTCTGTTAGGGTGAATGTCTCACGGTCTCATGAGAGCTCTGTTGAGGGAACTTTCCCATGGGAGTTCTAGCTTCTATCAGTAGAAGCTGAGGGTCACAACATAGTTGCGTGGCAAAAATAAGGAAGTCTCCCAGAACCTCTCCTTTGCTGACATGCAGCTCCCACGGTTGGTTTGGCTCTCCTCTCAATGGGAGATGAGTCCTGACACGAGCTCCAGCAGACCTGATGATTGGCTATCACGGGGGGGATCACGCTTTGAACATGCATCACTAGGGCCATAAAAGACAGCTAACTGCACTCAATAAACGGAGCTTCTGCCACCTTGCTGTCTCCCCCTCATCCATGTGTCTCCGGGTTACAGAGCATTGAGCTGGTCTCATGCTCATCACTGCAGCAGCAGCGTCATAAGTCAAGCCAAAATACATATAATGGCCACTACTGTCACCTGAAGAAACATAAAATATGCATTAGCTCTTATTGCTAAATATGATGGACACAATTGCCAGGGGAAGAAAAAAACAGGTAAATCAATATTTCACTACAGACTTGTATGGGAACTTTGCTCAGTTTCTGACCTTGGCTGGTTCCCCTCTCCCTTGGCAACTTGATGGCCTCTTGTACTTTGGGACTCATCATACTGATGTCAGCCTCAGTGTAGACACTGTACTGTCATAGCCCACTGCAGCTCAGAACTCATGAGTTCAAGAGATCTGCCAGCTTCAGCCTTTCTGGTAGCTGGGATTACAGACGTGTATCACCCTGCCTGGCTGTTAAGCCTAATAACAACTTCTTTCCACTAAGAGTATCCATAATTATAAAATATTTAGTAAAGCAGCTGCCTCAGAAAAACATTTATATATTTGCATATTGTGTATTTGTATAAGCACATGTGCACTTGCGTGTGCATTCTCCACTAAAGTCTTACTGCAATGCAGCATGGGACAGTTGAAGTGGCTCTGTGTTGCTAAAGGCTATCACAGTAAGGTGCAAGTTTTGGTAGTTCTACCATGCTGGCAAAGTTTGAAGTAAGAGCCTGGTACTTCTGCTGTCCAAGGACCAACCTAACTCCGGTCCTAAAGATATGACCAGGTTGGTCAAAGGAGGATGAATTGTTTATCAACAGCAAATCTCAAAGACCATCTTTGTTGTTGTTCAGTTGTTTCATTTGTTGTTTCATGGGGACTCTTCCGGACCCCATTTGAGATTTTCTTGGCGAAGAGATTGGAGTGGTTTGCCATCTCCTTCTCCAGCTCATTTTACTGATGAAGAAACTGAGGCAAACAGGATTAAGTGACTTGTCCAGGGTCACAAAGCTAGGACCATCTACCATGGTTTTGTAACACTACCCTTTCCTGGTTCTCCTCCTAAGTATCTGATCCTCTCCTCAGTCTTTCTTGTCAATTACCTCCCCCATTAGACCTCCTAGAATGCAATCCCCACTCCCCCAATTCTATGTATCTGTTGCACTTAGGCAGGTGCCTGATACATATAGTAGATACTTAACAAAAGTAGAAATTAATTTTCTGCCTTGACGCTTTTACCCTCCACTTATCGTGGCCATATTTCACCAGATGGGGCAACTAGAAGGCACGATGGATAAGAGTGCTGGGCCTGGAGTCGGGAAGACTCATCTTCCTCAGTTCACATCTGGCCTCAGATACTCATGTGACCCTGGGCAAGTTACTTAATCTTGTTTGCCTCAGTTTCCTCATCTGTAAAAGGAGCTGGAGAAGGAAACGGCAAACCATTCCAGTATCTTTGCCAAGAAAATCCCCCAAATGTCGTCACAGATAGTTGGACACAACAGAAACGACTCAAAACAACATTTCACTAGAAGAGAGCAGTATTTGCTCCCACGTCGCCATTGAGAAAGAATAAATTGGTTGGACCCTGGCTCAAAGTAAAACGAAGGAGTTTCCCGTTCATTAGAATTGGACGGGCAGGAGGGTGAGGGGACGCCAGCTTTCGGGACTTGCTGTCCAATGTCCAGGAGGAGAAGCCTGGCCCTGACCCTGACGGGAGGAGCTACCCTGTCCCCGGTGCTGAGGGGAGCAGCTTTTCCAAGGGTTAGTGAAGACACGGACCCACGAGGAGGGAGGGTGGGAGGGGTCTCAGGCGGCTCCGCGGGGGGGCTTCCCATCTCTCCCCCCTCCCCGCCCCCTCTTACCGGTTCACTTTATCCCGATCGTTCACGCCGGACTTCCCCAGCAGCAGCAGCTGCTGCACCTTCGCCACATCCCCGATGGAGGCAGCTTTGTAGATCTTCCCCAGGTCCTTGGCCCTGACGAGGTATCCTGAGATAGGGCCGAAAGCTCGGACCCCGCTGTCCCTACGCGGGGTGGAAGAGGCTCGAGATGGAGACAGCTCCCCCCTGCTGCCGAAGCTGAAAATCTTCTTCATCCTCGCGAGGGGTTCTCCCTTGACCTCTCAGCCTTCTCCGGGCTCCGGCCTCCGCTCCAGAAAAGCCGGAGCCTGGAAGGTTAAGAGACTCCAGAGCGCGCAAACCCTAGAGACTGTTGTAGCCTTGGCAACGGGGAGAGACGAACTGAACTGCGCATGCGTGCATCACACCCGCAGGTCACGCGCATGGGCCCTAAGGTAGTCACGCACGATGAGTGCGCATGCGCTGGGTTGGTTTTCTCTCAGCCAGAGGGGTCCAAAGCTCGAGATGGCGAATGTGGGTGAGCTCCAGGTTGGCTGGTAATTTTTTGTATTGTTCATTATTGCATTGCGTTAATTCTACTCATGTTTATAGTGATATTATCTTGACATATATCATATTACCATTGTAATTCCACTTCCTAATATGTATAAAAAGATAAACTAATCAAGTAGTTTTGCAAACTGTCTTATTTTCTCTGTCTAGTTCAAGTTAATTGCTTATGTAACTCAAAAAAGTAAGTAATATCAAGCTGCTACTACTCTGATCTTTATTCTGTTTTCAGTGTGACCATGCAATTGCTAACTATACTGAAGTTTTGCTACAATCATTATATGGTGTAGGTTGGGTGCTTTCTAATTGTTAAAAAAAAAAAAAAGAAAAGAAAATGAATGAGAGTCTAAACCATGGGACTGCAGTTGCTTGAGATCCTGTCTCACAAGAGACTCTGGAGAGGTAGTAATGTCCAAACCCACAAATTATGATTCTTCTCTTTTGCTTTATCATGTAAATTTCACCTTATCCTATAACATAAGTGCCACTTCGAATCATGTCTGTGGTATGAAATTCGTCAGGAGACAGTGTGCAAGCTCTTCAGCTTTGAGGGCATTAGAGCTTTTAATGCTTTTACAAAACATGCTAGTGAACTCTTTCCTGATCATCTCTAACTAGAGAGGAGAACTAGAGACTTTGTTCTGTATCAATTTAGCTTACTTTTTATGACCATCCACTTTGGGAAAGTCTGGGAATACCATTTTATCCAGCCCAATATGACATAACATTTTTACCTTAGTTACATTTTAATGGAGAGAATCAATGTAAGAGTGATAATAAAATAGTTATTAGGCACTCAGTATATATTATGCTCTATACTGAAGTCTTATTCTAAAATTCATCAAGATGTAGCCATAACTCTAAATTCTCCAAGTTTGTGTGGACAAAGTGAGCACTCTTGCAGGTCTTAGCCATTTGGAAAGACTGGATAGTGAGCTGGCTTTTACAGTAAGAAGTCATAGGTTTAAAACCCACTTCTGATACCTACTGGCTGGTCGACTCTGCACAGGTTTCTTAACCTTTCACTGCCTCAAGTTACTAACTCACTGAGACTATAATTTGCAGAGAAATTGCTTGTAATGTTTCTCACTATGAGTTCCATACAGATGAAATCTTATATCTAGTTGAATATATCTAGTGCAAAAGAAATCTGGCAACATCTTGTTCAATGGATTGGAGAAAGTAAGGTTTGGAGAATGGTTATGAATCGAATAATAAAAGAATGCACACACTGAAATAGGCCAATGGACACTTCTTAATTGCTTCCCTTAGACTAGTGTGATTGCTGATAGAAAAAAGAAGTGCTTATTTCACTGCCCATCTGACTATCTTTAGACTACATTTTGGGGGAGAAGGTCAGAAGAAACAACAAATGTACATTGAAGTTGCAAGGTTTTTGTTTTTGTTTTTAACATCCCTCCCTGGAAAGGCTTGAAAAGAGAAAATATATTGGTTTGCAACTCATCATCCCCTTCCTTCTAGGGACTGTAGAGGTCTATGCAAGGTACATTATTTCTGGGTCTCTTGTCTATGGAGAAGAGCTAGAAATATGTTATGTCATACTAAATAAAGTAGTCTCTGGATCTGCCCTGACTTACAGAATGGACCAAACAGGTCATGCCGTGCCGTGCTCAATGTGGCAGTACTATATATGTCCAAACATTCCATCTGTGAGGTGTGTGGTGAGAAAGGTGAAACAAATATGGTCTTTCTCAATCTAACTACATAAAAGGCCCAAATTAATCCTATTATGTCTGCTTGTTCCTTCTGTTTATGATATCTAGTGATGTTTTGTTCTGTCAGTATGAAAGAGCCTGCTAGTGAAATGACCGGTGTAGACAAATCACTGACAGATATCTGATGCTTGAAGAAGACCTCCTTCTACCCACAGAGCCTGGATACGTAAGACACTTATCTCTAGCATAATTGCATTTGCAACGAGGGTCTTTGTCATGTCCCAAAAAACACATTGTAACGAAACTTCATAAATTCTACTTTTAATATTAATATCATGTAGTGTTATATATGTTTTAATTGTATTTTACTTTTTTTTCCAGTAGTGGAAGAAAGTTCTCTAGAAGAATCTATAAGAAGGTAAGCTTCATACCTGGTTAATATTTCTTTTAATTAATTAATTAATCCACATGATCCATGAAGAAATTCAGGAGGCCTTAAGAAACTGAAGTGACTTGAGCTGAAGGAGAAAGATTCCATCTAAAGGAAGAATAGAAAGTGAGTCAAAGGAGGCTTTGAAGAGATGGAGGAGGATATAAGGAAGAAGACAATGTGAATGTTATGAGGAGGGGGAGGAGATGGAATGAAACTGAAGGAGGGGTAGAAGGAAAAGAAGGATTTTAAAAGATTAGACCAAATAAATAAAATCACTTGGCAAATTGAAAGAGAAGGAAAAGGAAACTGGGCATGCCTATCAAAGAATCAAGGAGAGCTTAAAAAAAAAGCTGTCTAGGTGTTAACAAATACTAAGGAGCTGAGAAAAGAAGCACCTTGGGGCAGTGGATAGGAATAGGTCTGGGAGTAAGTATAAACTGGGGTCAAGTCTCCCTTTTGTCACATATTTGTTTTGTGACCCTAAGCGAGTCATTAAATCCTTCAGTGTTCCCAACTCTCTGACACAGAACAGTTGCCAATCTCTGTCATTTCCTCTCTGGAAGTTCCCTGCACCAATGAAATCACAAGTCATATACCCTACCCTCCTTGAATCCCCCCTCCCCCAAAGGGGTGAATAGAGTGATAACTAGAGTTGAAACTCCATGAAAGCAGATTACCACAGCAGTTGTACAGAAGTGCTACTAGCTAGAAAGATAAAAACTAAAAATTTTACTTATTGTGTATATGGGGAACCAGGTAAATTTTTTATTGACCTACATTGATTTTTCTGATACTGTGATTCATGGAAGTCTCTTATAAGGAGATAAGTCTTAAATTAGTTCTTAAAGGAAATGTTGCACATTGATTGGTAGTAGATAGGCAGGTGGACATTGCAAATCAGAAAGGGATCATGAATATTCTAATTTACTCTGAAAATGGTTTCTATTCTATTCTGTAATTTTATCTGACCAGGTTTATCAGTGATTATTTTACATCCAAGAATGGTTGCACTTGTAATAAATACCTTTCTGAGACTGGAACATATGACCTACTCACATAATCTAGAGGTCAGCTAGGCCTCTAGATATAGTGGATTGAGTGCTGAATTTGGAATCAGGAAGACTCATCTTTATGAGGTCAAATCTGGCCACAGACCGTTACTAGATGGGAGACCCTGGGCAAATCAGTTAGCCCTGTTTGCCTCAGTTTCCTCATCTGTAAAGTGAGCTGGGAAGGAAATGGCAAACCTCTTCAGTACCTTTGCTAAGAACCTTCCAAGTGGGATCACGAAGAGTCAGACACGACTGAAATGACCGAACAACAACAAATACAAGTCCTATCTAGAGTTGAAGTCTATGGAAGGTACCTTCAAGAAAAATGAGAGACACTGAAAGTGTTTGTCAGAAACTACAGAGAGTAATGCCATGCTATAAATACATTGCTGGGTTTTGGTGGTAGTGTGATTTATAATGTCCCACTGTGTTCATTTTTCAAATTTAGAGGAGTATGAAAATAGGAAATGAGATTATTCTGGAGGACAAACCCACTGATGGCTTCTACAACAGTATTTTCTTCTCTGCTAAACTGAATCTTGAAGTAGGAATAGTTGATATACTTGCTTTGTTAAGTCATCCTTTGTAATGTAGCAATGACAACAATTAAAAAAGCCTTTTTGATGACTCTCTTCTAGAAATAAAACTACTCGTTTTTGCTTTCTTTTTGAAAGACTCTGTGACAATCCTGGAGCTGATGATTCTTGTCCAATCAGATGAAGAAGAATTAGATTTTAGTACTAAGGTAAAGTTTCTTTGTGGAATTTTCCCTAGTCTTAAATTTCAGTTTGGTGGGTGCTTTGCTTTGTAAAAATAATAACTCTGTGGGGCAGCCAGGTGGAATAGAGCTCTGAGTCTTGGGGTCAGGAGGACCTGAGTTCAAATCCAGCCTCAGACACTTAACACTTATTAGCTGTGTGACCTTGGGCAAGTCACTTAACCCTGATTGCCTAAGCAAAAAAAAAAATAATAATAATAACCATCAACAAAAATGAACAAAAAGTAAACTTTTAAACAGTATCCTTAGTATTTAATGAATTCAATGCATTTGGAGCTACATGAGTTAAAAGCCAAAAAGCTTTTGTTCTGTGTCAGGTTTTAGATTCTTTCAAGTTTTCCCACCTCTAGTTTGGTTTTTTTTACTGAAAAACTAGGTAAAATCAATGTGTGTACAATTTCTTTTCTGCTGATATCTCTGTATCACTTTCTATATTTCCTTGTAACCTTTGTATTTATCTGTACATTCGAAAGAATATTAGATTTGGAGTCAGAGAACCTGGGTTCATATTCCATGAATGCCACTCTTTAATATATGACCTTAGAAAAGTCCTTGTTTCTAGATGATATTTAAGGTCCTGCCTAGCTCTAAAGCAATGATCCATTACATAATATACTGTTCTCCAAGTATTGGATAAAGAAATTGTTTCCAGTTTTTTAGCTCTTACAGACAGAGCAGCTATGAATATTTTTGTACAGCTAGGTCCTTTTTTCCTTCCTGTGCTCTTTTTAGGATGAATTCATAGCAATGAAACCATGGCGGTGAAACTCAATTTTATGAGTCTTGTATGTTGTTCTCCAAAATATTTGCAATTAATGTACAGTCCCAACGGTGGCATGTTAGAATTTCCCACAACTCTACCAG